GTAACGGGATGCATGGAAGTCACTAAGTCGTGGACAGGGCATATCTGAACAAGGAAAAGGCTACCTACCTACCTCTGCTATTGTGGGGTGGTCCGCCTGGCCGTCCCTAATTAATTTCGCTTGACTGCGCTCAACAAAAACAACTACCCAATAGCAAAAAGTAAGTTATCAATACAAAATATTAACATTCATTATCATATTATATTTTGTTTTTTCATGTTGATTATTTCGTTACCTACTAAATTTGATGTACTGTAATGAATAATAATATAGTTTAAGCATATCCTGTTGTTGTAAAATTTTGCTAAATCTATTATGTTGAAACACAGTGTTGAAAAAATACAATAAATCGCAAATAAATCATCGCATTAGAGATTACAGCATATAGATTCTTAAAACTGTGTGAAACCCCCTCCTTTGCACATAATAGCCCTTGGCAATTCCCTTTTAAAAGCCTTTAATTCCAGGAGTATTTTAAGACCAAGAAAAAAAAAATTAATGAAATAAAAATGAATTACGTATCATTGATTTCAGATAAGTCCTAAAACGATTATAATGAATTATTGTTGATTCTGCATCGTGCTTCAGGTACGTCCGATCTAATCAATAGCTCATTTTAGAATTAGCAGATTTTAGAACACAAAAATCAACGACGTACAACTTAGTGATTGATGATATTCTTTAGTTTAATTTAAGCATAGGTTTAGCAAAACACAGTAACTAAATATACAACCTTAATATACATATAAAAAAACAATGTGACGTGCAAGTTATGTTAAGTTAATCCAACACATGTTAAGCAGTTCGAATTTATTTTAAGTAGCCTCCAAATCAGGGTAGTGAACAGAATGTTGTGCAATTTGTACCAATACGTGAGCATGGTAAGAAGTTATTATGGAAAATCTGTGAAGGAATTAGTCCAATATCGCACAAAAACTGTGTTATCTTCTAATATCCAGTAGTGCATGCGATGGGTCGTTGTCGCGTTTAACATTATCTATCTTCCAAATTCAATAACAATCATAGCATGTTAAAATCAAGCCACGACCTAAACACAGTACAAAAGGAAAAAATGCAAATGATGATTACTGATCAAATAATACAGAGAAAGTCTTAAGTTGACATTAAAATCACAATTTGGAAACGACCACGTATTGAATGGGTACAGTATTTTACGGATTTGAATAACGTCGTTTTTGTATGAACTAGCTCCCTATGGAATAAGACATATTTAAATTGAATATCACATGGCCAATATAATCGAGTTTTGGCAATGAACAACATAAAGATTTTGGGCGACTATTTTAATAATTCTAATAATTTATTCCAATCTTTTTAAGCGGAAATATATGTGTAAGGCATGGTATGCGTCAAAACTGATTAAAAATATATATTGCTAAATCAGTGGTAATTACGCGCCATCGGCTGGACCGGGGGCGTTGCCGCAGGGAATTACGTGTGGAGGTTAAGCCGTCGGCTGGACCGGGGGGGTTGCTACAGAGAATTACGTTTGAGGGTAAGCCTTGGCTGCACCGGGGGGAGTTGCCACAGCGACTCTCTCCCACTCCACTCAGATAGAGAGAGGGGTGGTCGGCCGTGACGTCACAGTTCGGAAGTCTGTGTCGTCGGGAGTCTGCGTCGTCGGGAGCCCGTGGCGCGTTCCCCAAATTTTGGCACTGTTCTGTTGAGTTCAGCAGTAGACTATTAGAGTATAGTATAGTGAGTGACGTTGTCGATTCAGTGAAGCGCTGAGTATGTCAAAGGTTAAAGCACAAAAGGTTTAGGCTATAAACAAAATTCTACGGGTTCTTGATGCAATGAAATTAATTGTTTGCTTAACTTAGCTTACTTATATCATCATAGACTAACCAACACAAGTATATTTTTTATCAATGGAGTTTAAATCTTACCTTTACAGGAATCCCTTAATTCTTCTTTGCTTCGTCTTGGTATCAAAACCATAAACAAAACTCACAACTAGTAACGAAACGAGTAACTCACAACACCAGAACTAGATAAGTGAGAACTGACAACTGAGAGTGAGGAAGTCTAAATCCAACAAAAATGGTGGTTCAGCACAAAGAAACAGGTTTTAGGAGCGTTCTGGGTAGGGGTGGAGGGAAAATTCTTTTGTCATATGGCACTGCTCACTTTAGACTCACATGAACAAGCTTGTCGTGGGTCTGGTTAGGTGTTTAAATTGTGGACTTGGCCAACCAGGTTATATATGTAAATAAAACAAGTTTAGTTTTGGCGCATTCACACAAGTTCACTTAACCAAAGCTGTTTTAAATTTGTAGTGGGTTCCAAACTCCAAGTTTGTCATACCAATTCATAAATATGTAAAAACCAAGTTTGGTCCAAGCTCACGTGCTGTCTGGGCAATGGTTCATTTTAAACAAATTAGCTCTTAATGATTTGAAAACCCAGGAAATAACTTTCAGCCTTTTGCCTAATGTACCTGAAAGTTTGTCTGTAAAACTGTTAGGTTTTGTACTGGATCCCAAGCTGTCTTGGGAAGGTCACATAGATGTCCTGTGTAAGAGACTTAGCAGAGTGTTGTTCCTGCTTAGAAAGCTAATGTCTGAGCTTCCAAGGCCAACAGTTAGGCAGGCCTACCATGCTTTCTTTCAGTCTATTTTGGCCTATGGAACCAGGCTGTGGGGCCATGCCACTGGTACTCAGAGAATTCTTTTAATTCAAAAGAGAGCTGTTAGAGTAATTTCAAATGCTGGGTACCTTGACCATTGCAGACCTTTGTTTGTTGAAAATGAAATTTTGACCATTGTGAATGAGTACATTTTTCAGTGTCTGGTGGCAATAAAAGCCAGACAGGACTCTCTTCATGTAAATAGCGATGTACATAGTTATGATACTAGAAATAAGTTTGATATCTTTGTACCTAGAAATAGGCTTCAAAAATCATTGTGTTCTTTTCCTGTTTCAGGCATTAAACTTTTCAACAAATTGCCCCAAAGTACAAGAAATTTACACACAAAAAAATTCTCCACTTTTGTAAAAAATTGGCTCACTCAAAATCCTTTTTACCACATATCCGAATTTTTCAACTGTGACAAAAGCAATCTGGTGGTAACCGTTTGAGTCATTTTCAGGTACACCTGCATGGTTTGTGCATGTTTTCTTGTTTTGTTTTTTGACTAGAGCTTATTTATTTGAATTGTTTGTTGATGAATTTGATTTTGCATGTTTTGTTTATTTAAATGACGAGCCTATTGTACTTGTTTGTATTTAATGGCAATAAAGACTTTGACTTTGACTTTGACCATATATTTCATGTCATGGCTTTTCAATAGGTCTTTCAGTAAATTATGTTTATAATCATTTTTACTTATTCTCAGTTTACTTATTCTCCAAAATATAACATGGGAATTTTAAATTTACAATTTTTTGGAATTTCCACCATAACCATTAGGTGCATTAATGGTACATTAACACTGTTTTTTAGCTCTACAAAATAGTTTGGAAAGAAATTATTGCAAAATTTTTATGTATTTTGAGTAAAAAATGGGAAAACCCATTTTTACCCCATAAAACCCCCGATCCCATGGTCCGATCATGCAGGTTCGCGAACTCGTTTGAATCATCGATATATAACTACTACTAGTAGTTATATATCGATGGTTTGAATAAACGTAGGTTTACACGTTTGTACCAAATTTCATCAAAATCGGATTGTTTTTGCTCGTGTTATCGCGCTAACAGGCACACATATAAATACAGTATATATATAAATAATAAATAAATAATATAAAATAGAAATATATATAAATATAATATAATAAATATATATATATATGAATTTGAACGGATGGGGTTTTTGGCCTATAGGGACCTCAAAACGAAAAAAAAATCGGTCCCGGGTCCAGGTCTTACCATGAGTACTACGGTAATAGCTTATTCCCTATATGGGAAATTCGCTAAAATTGGCATTGCCTCCGAAGAGGACATTATAAGCTTGCTTTTGATACCAAAATCGTTTCTTAAATACGAAAAAAAAACCTGTTTTTTTGCGTATTTGAAATTTTCTAAATTAATAGTTTATCCCAAAATGGCCCTTTTCACTAACAAAATTTAAAAGTTCTATAACTTCTACAAAAAAATCGTAGATGCATGGGACTTGCACAAAGTGATTCGGAATTTAATAAGCAGTAAAGGCTTTTTGAGACGAGAAGTCCAACATTGTCGAAACTTTGACTCTCTGGTGCTATCACACTAAGCTATAAATAATCATCACAACCGTGAATGAAGAAATGTTGTGGACGTTGTGCTACCGGTTACCCCTTCAGGGAAACCAGGCTAAAAGGGAGGGAAACATTATCCTCTCAAGAAACTCTACAAAAGTGAGCAGTTACGACATTTTATTGAAGTACCAGTATATTTTTTGTAGCTTGTATGTCCACTCTTCTCTGATTCCAACATTTGTCATGCACAGTTTATTCAACAATTTAAATCTTCATTCAGTTATTATGAAAATGAAATGAGCTGATAATCTGTGTAGCTTAGTTGTCATCAACCATTTTTTTTTTTTTTACTTTAGGCAGGTCCTTTGACTGGCAGGTCCTTTATAAGTTTAAGAACAGAACAATGTTATAAAACAACTGGGACCAGTTCCGAACCATAAAAAACCCCCTTCTGACAGGATTAGATTAACTTAATTATTCATTTTAAACAGATCTTGCATTTATATTCAGCTCAAATACGAATATACTTTTGTGTGTCATTGTCTCAAAGTAATTATATTGATATTATGATATGTACGCTACACACAATATTGTAATGATTGACAATAGATTTTATAATCTATGGCAGTGGCTCTCCGAGTTCAGCACCCACCCGTTATTTTGACCAGACGGTTGGGTTAGTCCAAGTCCAGTTGCTTATTGCTTTTTGCTTTCTTACTGTCTCCCTAAATCAGCTGTATACACATTAGGCTACCCGTGCCCGTCGTCTGAATATTAAACTTTCTGTTATTTGATTTCTTATTTCTGTTGCACTGTTGATGAATTAGATTTTAGGTTATCTAGCATAACTTTAAGCATGGAATTTGTTTGAAAAATTAAGTAAAAAACTTTCAACAAATATGGCTGGGATATCCTCTAAGATTTTAGGGATTCACAATATACTTAAGTCACAACAACAATCGTTTCCTCATGTAACTGGATTAACTAGGTGAGTTTTTAGCATAGACCCCTAGCCAAAGTTGTAGTGGAATAAGTTCCTACAACTATCTATTATTGTTCCCCAAAGAGCCATAATACATCAATTGGTAATATAACTCAAGTAGACTAAAACTAAGCCCTAACTATCCTTAGGTCTTCGCTGTATTTTCATTTTTTCTCAATCCTCTTTTCCTCTAACTTATACTTATTAGTGATGGGAGAATCGAATACTTTAAAGAATCGAATACAGTGAATTCGTAGCCTCCCCTGTATTCGAATACTTTTACGAATACTTGTATTCAAACACCTTTGAGTATGCAAAGCATGGAAAATGAGTGTGTAATTCTTTTTTTATAATGCGACGGTTCTTTTGGCCACTGTTATTTCGTTTTACAGTAATTAATTCATTAATATAATTTATTCAATGTAATTTTAAATTATATGATTTTTAAAAGGTACATTTATTTTGACTTATCATTATTTCATGGTCAGTTACAGTCTTATTAATGTATTATTTTCTATTATTAACTAATTAATATATTTAATAATATGTCTTATTCATTTGTATGGATAATTTACATAAGATATTCATGTTATTTTGCCATGTAACTATATAAATCGGTTGTAGTTATAATAAATTCTATTCAATTGCCCTCTACCAGTAGTAACCTAATATTTTAAATAGGTATCCAATATATTCTAAATGTTAACAATTAATAATATAATCTTATGTAAATTATAGGGCTAATGGTAAAATTATAACAAATAGATGAAAACAAATGCTGCAGTAAAAACATTAAATACTCTTACGAATTCAAAAGGGAATTCAGTAGTTGAAAAAGTGTTGAAAACATTTTTGAATCCCCCGAATTCGCTTTCTAGATTCAAAAATCCTGCAAAATCTGAGGTCAAGAGTATTCACAAAAAAGTATTCGTACGAATCTGAAGTATTCGAATCTACGAATACTCGGGCTGTATTCGAATACTATTCGATTCTGTATTCGATTCTCCCATCACTAATACTTATAGGCTAAGGAACAGAACCTTTGAAATGAAACATGATTATAACTCACTAGCAACTTGACCCTTTCAGTGCTAACTTGTGCAAGTTATGGAACTATATATATTGCTGTTCCCGTTTCTTGCGAATCGTGTCGGCGCGACTTTCGATAGTGTGAGTTTAAATAGCAACAGCGATGGTTTCTTTCGATTCCTCATATGATCGAGGCCCGATATATCGTTCCTTAACCCTCCAAGTGTCCATAGTATTGGTATTAATGTCCGCCCATTTATTGCGCAATCGCAGGATTTTATTAAAATGTATCTTAGAAAATTAAAAACAATGTAAAGTACACTGTTTTATATATCATTTTGTTTGGGAAATTATGGGCTTCAATGTAGGCCTAATATATAAAACATTACAAAAAAAATTTTCAACAATTTTTGTGGGGTGAACATTTCTCAAAAATTATAAAATAAATGAAAAAAACTTATGTTTGCGCTCAATAAATTTTTATAATTTATACTTAAGTCTACAAATATTTAAAAATAGCCACTTTGTTTCTAAAATTTAATAAGGATTACAAAAATATAATAATATAAGGAAGTAAATTTGCAAATAAATAAGTTATGGGTGAATAACAGATTTTGTACACTTAGCAATAGCTAAGAATACATAGCCTAACCATAGCTAGGAATCTGGCCGATAATTTACATCAATATCGCTACCTACTTCTTCAGGATCATCAACCAGCCCTTCAAATTCACTCAAATCTTCTTATAATGCACCACGTAGGCCTATTTCACTACTTTTTATTTTTTTGTTAACACTAAAACAACGATAAACGTAATAAAACACATCAGTCATCGGTGTGAGGTTAACCAAGTTGTTAACAAATACGCACGTCAGCTGTCTGCTACAATATTTTCGGAACTAAAATGAAAAGCGTCTAGAAACAGACATCAGGAGAAAGCTTAGAATCTGCCGAAAACAACGATACCAATCTCGATCCAGTTCAATCTGATTCAGTCAGTCCCAGAGCCTTCGCCGTAAACGATGTTTGTGTGTCGCAAAAGCGATGCATAACACCACGGCAGTAGTGTTGTGCGTCTATTACGCGACGCTTTACACTCGGAGGGTTAAGACTTGTGAGATGATAAATTTTATTTTTCTTGTTTTTTTTTTCTCCCATAACTAGACTCTGCCGTGGTAAGCCTAGCACTTTTCGGACAAAATAAGTAGACCGGTAAGTTAAAAAACTTAAAAAAGTTCTAGCATCGAAAGGGTTATGGTTAATTTGAAACCATGAGCATCAAGCAAAAATTAGGCCTACTGTGAATCTCACTCAGATGTACCCAGTGTTTTCTTAATTTGAGTAACTTATTGTAAAACGGGATTGCACATAGCCTTAGCCGGTTTAAAAATATAGGCTAAGTTAGGTAACCTGAAGTTTTGATTGAAGAAGTCTTTTGGTGGCAAAACCCTATCAGTAGGTGGCATTTGAATCAAGTCTGTTAGTTCATTGTAAACTTAAAATCTATTCCTAAAGAAACAATAAACTTAAATGTAACTTTTGTAATGTATTTAAAGTTAATCCTCCGTCTCTAGTGCCTGTAGGTTGCACCTAACATGACATACGCACTTTCTGAAACATAATTTCAAAGCCTGTTTTCCTCTGTAAAAAAAGATAATATGAATATCCACCACCACGAAAACCAGAAGGTCATAAAAATCCCAGTAGGCTACCTACCATGGACTTAATCAGCGATTTTTGAAAATTGTAGGCTTCCTTGGCTAAGTTAGACAAACCAGGCCTAAGCACTTTTATCGCTTGGGTACCGTAACATATATAAATCTTAATAGGCCTAAGGGTTAAAAGTGCCAACCAACCTATACAAACCCAGCTTGACCTAACATAACAAACCTAACCGAGCAAACCAAACCTAACTCAACCCAACCTAACCCTTACAAATATAAGTTAAAGCATGGGGTTATTAAAATGGACGTTGTCTTATTGTCTGATGTGTGTTTTGAAATAAATCAACTGTGGTTTTTTTACTTATATTTCTTATACACCTTATGTTTATATCAAGGTTAAAATTACTCGCACATAGCTTAGTATGCATTTGTTTAATATTATACAACACTCAATTGAGTTTCCTAGTATATTTTAAAACCAGGATGAAAAGGTGTACTACAGTACTAAAGTAGATTTTTGTTTCAGTATTTTCAATGGAACTCTTACAGTTCAAGTGAGACACAGGCGACCTGGACATCCCATCAACTTAACAAGGCCTCGATTTCCGTTGTGGTTCCTTAGAAAGGAGCTTGTTGTAAGTAACATGTTCTTGTATGTAGCCTACATAAATATTTTATTTCTTAACACTTTTGCTGATCGATTTGCATCCCTTCGGTATTTCATTTCAAATGTGTGGTCCTAACCCTATTCTATAGGAGAGCTATACGGTGTTTCAGTTCTTTTGGAAGAATAAAATAATATCATGCTATGATCCTTTGTGGTAGTCCCTACTCCAATGCTGCAAAAAAACATTTATTGATGAAAGTTGGAAAGCTTTCCTAACAGGTGGGACCTAAGAGTTTTGGGAGCTATTAACGCAGAATATTTTGACTACCTTAGGCCTACTAGTTTTTTACCCTAGTTTCCACTCCAAAAAATATAGCCTAGGTTTAGCCAAAATGTTTGGGTATATGTTGCCCAATAAGCATAATTAATTTGTATACTAATTTGTTATTTAATAAGTTATACAAATTTAAATTTATATATAAATCTTGGTATATTTTCAAAAATGGTCAAGTTGACCAACCCATGTTTAGTACCTACACAACTACTTTATACTTTTTCAACAAATAACTTCTTGATCAGCATTGTACGTGTTATTATCTTTACGGAAAGTAAATAAAAGATACGTCTTACAACACTTAAAACATACATTTACACTTAAAATACTGTTACTCACAAGACGTTAAATATACCAAAAAGATGGTAAGTGGAGATCGATTTCGATTGGACACTCCAATCATCATCAGACCCAATAGGCGTAAGCATGAAAAATCATTCGCCTATTGGGTCTGATGATGATTGGAGTGTCCAATCAAAATCAATCACCACTTACCATCTTTTTTGTATATTTACTGTCTTGTGAGAGTAACAGTATAAGCTTAAATATATGTTTTAAGTGTTATAAGACGTATCATTTATTTATTTTCCGTACTTTTTCAATGAAATGGCAACCATACAAAGTAGGTATTTTATGCCAAGTATGAATGGAGATGAGTGTAGGACTATAGGTTCAGATTTCTAGGGTCCGTCACAGGATAAAATATATGTCACCCAGTTGAGTGTTTCCCACTATGTGGTAAGCAGAGGCCACTGCGGTGGTACGTGGTAACATTCTAAGAACGAGTATTATCTGTTTGGGCTTGTGTGTCGTGATTAGCTCACAGCCCATCAACATCTGTGTTATATTCAAGAATACTGAACACTAGAGCAGGGAGATGACTCTAGTTAGGTTTCAGCTTTCATTATTGCCATTAGACTGCTCCGGATTGCTTGGAAAGTTAGGTAACTAGCCTGTCGTAGATAACTCATTGTAAACAAATCTGGAAAGCAAAATGCAAAATAAAGTTTAAGCTTGAAAACAAATAAAATAATAAATGACTGACTTAAATAATAGCGTTCAAGGAATGTGGGCAAAATAAACTCTCTTATGCCTGGTGCTCAGTACTTCACTCAGCTATTCATACACTGTGAAAATATACCCTATGGGGAAACCTTTACATATAGTTGGGAAATCAGTAATTCAATTAGCAAAATAATAAAAAAATATTTCATCCATAATTACCTCTACGTGACTAAGTGGTACACAACAAATGTTTATCATCATATACATAAGTAGGTTACACAGGGTGTCCACCAAGCCAACCAGAAAAAATTCATGAGTAAAAAAAAATTCCAGGTAGTTCAGGTCGTACTTTTTATACTAAAATTTCCAACGTGTTGTGCACCAACTCCCGCAATGCTGTTTTAGCATTAACACAGCTCGCTATTTTAGTTATCGGAAAGAGCATTCTCAGTTAAGGGGAAAAAATTATGCTTGCTGTAATATTGCCAGACAAAAGTATTCAATTTTTATATATTACTGATTAAATAATCCAAAAATTAAAAACTAATCCCTAATCCTGCAATTTATTAATAACTTCCTAAAAATAGTGATATGTCAATACGGAAATGTCGTCATCGTCTCCCGCGGTTACGGATACGGTTATAGATACGTCATCGTTGTCTCCCATGGTCACGGAAATGTCATCGTTGTCTCCTGCGGTCGCGGCAAAAAATTCCCGGTTAAATACAAAATTCACGCATAATTCCCGGTTTTTTCCGGTTAAAAAAAATCACGCATAATTCCCGGTTATCCCGGTTTTCCCGGACGGTGGACACCCTGTTACACCAGGAAACACTGATCCAGTTTACGTAGGCAAATCTGTCAATACAGTTTAAAAAAGACACATGAAACACGCATAGGCTTCACATTAATTTTGGCGTAGAACAAACAAAAGTTGTGCAGCATGTGTCTATATTTTTGCCGTTCTTGTAATTATACCGGTACTCATATTTGCCAGATTTATTAGTTATTTGGTTATTTTTTTTTGTGCTTGTTTACCAAGGATATTGAATGGTTTTGATAGATCTGCCAACATCGGCTAGATGACAAATTTGTTTGATATTGCTGCAACACTTAAAGATAAACTTATCAAGTAAAAAATAGCAGTGGTATACAATACTAATAAACACAGATAAGGTTGTTTAAAACATTTAAAATAAATACAGTGATCCAGAAGCTAATTCATATGAGAATATTTTGGTTCCTCTTAATATGCTTAGCGTTTTTGTTTTTCTAGAATGTTGATCAGTCTCTGACAGAGCCTAACAAGCAGTTTATCGAGGAAGTGGTTCATGAGAAGTTCGGGCCCCCAGCAATCATCAGTGGGCTCTCCACTTATCAGCTGAAATCGCCGCTGAAAATTGAAGCTGAACCACGTGGAGAATGGCACAAGAAAACCAGGAGAACTGGTCTTATCGGTCGAAAAATTGGCCAACAGCCCATGTGGGATAAGAACGGAAATAGGTTCACAACAACTTTGATACAAGTGAGTTTCCTGTCCTTAAAAAGTCTAATAATATTTGGTACATTCGTATTAGGCCTACGTATTTTGTTGTTGTTGATAAATTCCATCGTAAGTCAGTATTATATAACCTTAGTAAGTTCATACATTATTTTTTATTGTCTAGGATATGAATTCCTGCAGTACATAAACATTTAAATACAATCCTACATGTACCAAGTGCTGCATATGTTTTGGCGGTTATTAAAATATTTCCACCCTTGTCAGGTTATCAAAATACTCAAAAGACACTTGATGTGTCGTCAGATTAAATAAATATGTACCTAATACACATTTTACACAAAACATAAAAACGAACATGATATCGGGGTGGCGCTCTGTCGGTGTCGTGCTGGTATCGTGTCGTGCAGTGTGAAAACGGCCATTGGCGGAGAGGGGGAACATACCCTCCCTCGCCGTTACCTCCCCTACATGCACTAAAAATTTCGCGCAGGTTGTTTTCTAACCGGCCGACCTATAGTATAACTAATAATATAATAAAATAATAATAATATAGGTATGTATGTTAGCCTACTTAGTTGAGTTCTGTTTTTCTTCTTATTTTATAAGTAGGCCTATCTGAAATAATAATTTTTTATAGATCGTTGATAATCATGTGGTGAAATACATCCCACCAGAGGAAGTCAAAGACAAAAGAGAAATACGATATAGAGAAAGTAGCAGATATGGACTTCTAATGGTGGGTGCAGAGAGTGCCGACCCTCAAAATGTAAGTTTTAATTTTTCTCTCCCACTTAGTTTCCGATCACTTATCCTTACTACTTATTCTTAAATTTGAATAGTAATAGTGTTATTAATTTGTGCACGAATTAGTGAGCAAAGTGGCATTTTTTAAAATGTTGATTCAAGCCAATGCTCAATGTCCCATTGTATGACAACTCTTGTTCCAGTACACCAGAGAGTATTGTGGACTGTTCGCCAAGGCTGGCCTGATGCCCAAGAAGCAGCTGTGTAGATTCTTCATCTCTCCGGAGGCTGCCATTCAGGCTGGCACTCCACTCTACGCCAACCACTTTAGTGTCGGCGACGTTGTGGATATCAGAGGGAAAACGTGAGTGTTACATTTTATAGTCATCTGCTTCTAAATTATGTAGGCTAACTCTTAATATGTATTTTACTAAAGACTCCACATCTTTTGAATCTTCTTACCTTGCTCTTGATTTTCACAAATCTTTCTCCACTCAGCTTCTTGAATCTTCCTCCTGAAAAATTTTGCAATTTATTAATATTCCAATATAAAGTGGTAGGGACACATAATACGACATTTTTGGCCTCTGGTAACATCAAAACAATAAAGTAAATCGGTCCTGGGTGTAGGTCTTATCATGAGATCTACGGTAATAGCACATTCCCTACATGGGAAATTTGCTTATAAGACATAACTATATCCGTAGCTTTTTTTAAATAAACCAAATTGTAGTATTGTACAGATAATGTTAGACGACTTACTTGTCACAGTGTGTTGGACAGGGTTGCCACCAGCCATGAAAACCTTGAAAAGCTTGAATTATGCATGGATTCTTGTGACCATGAAAAAAGGCATGGATTATGCATAGATTTCTAAAATGGACCATGAATTTTCAAAATCAGGAATAATTATTCAACCAGAACCATTTATAGTTAAATATTTGAAAACAATCCATAGGAACAAACACCATGAAAATACTGTGTGGAGATGATTATTTAACATGTTCCACGATCAGAAACAATTGCTTAGTTCATTCCAAGTCATTCAAAGATTCTGATGTCAGCTGAGACTTCCCGAGGACTGTATATGGTCCGAAAAATCATTTGTAGGCCCCCCTACCAATGAGGCTACCCCCGTAGGCTATTTGTAGGCTACCCCCGTGTATGAAAAAGGGGTATGGGGACTTAAATCACAAAAACAGATGTTTTAGACCATGCACTGAATTGAAACGGGGTGCGCAATAAAACCGAATTTCCGACTCTGACGCCTGATTTTTTTTAGCTTTTTGGATAAAATCATCATATCTTAGTATGTTGTGGAATAAGATAATCTAGAATGTACATTTTATGACAATTATGTAGGGGGATAAAACAGGACTTTTTTGGCTGGGTGAGTGGGATTTTAGTTTTATTTCGGTGGAAAGACTGAATTAGACCTAGACTTAATATATTTTACAATTCTTCTCCAATATCTCATATAGAATAGCTAAACCTGTTTTGTTTTCAACTTTGTTTTGAATGTTTATCAATCACTCTAAAAAAGCTGTATATTAGGTATGAAAGGTTATTCAAAAGTAACACACAAAGAAACTGCTTCTTTAACGTCAGTTTATGAAATCGGCAAAACTCATTCGTGTTGAAATTGTATAAGCGCATTGACCATGAATTTTTTTTAAACTACCAATGAATACCATGAATTCTGCATGAATTTTATTATCCCACTATGGTGGCAACCCTGGTTGGACCATCAAGTGTAGGATTATCAAGTTTCAAACATTTTTTTCCTACTCGATACTTTCACAAAGTGTGAATATTCATCCAAACAACATGTATCAAGTGTTACTGTCCAGCATCGACCGTGGGTTCCAAGGGGTGATGAAGAGATGGGGGTTCCACGGGATGCCAGCAACTCACGGCCAGACCAAGACCCATCGCAAGGGAGGCAACACTGGCGGGGGTGGAGAGAAGGCTAGGATATGGCCTGGGACTAAGTTGCCTGGACACATGGGAAACAGATGGAGAGTTCTCCGAGGGATGCAGGTGAATATCTGTTACAGTGGGACTTCCTTATTTGAAAACTTCTTTTAGGATAGTTTTGTTTAATGAAAAAAGGGTGATATTAGCTGCTTACCTGAGAAAAAGTCCAGATAGGTCATTGTATACATTGACGAGTGTTTGTTTTGTTTATGTCCCATCTTTACCATCCCCTTGGACGTAGACTCTAACCCGGAATTGTTTTACACATTACTTCAGACTAGGCTTAGAGGGTTGCGGCATTATCATTTAGATCAAATCCATTGGTGATTGGTGGGATTTAAATCCAAGACCTCGGGGATCAAAGTCCCGCACTCTACCTCTAGACCAGCTTGCTCCTCCACACATTGAACACACAAAATAAAAACTAAAAACACACAATATTTTGTCCCCTGTGGGATTTTATCATGTGTAGACAAAGGGGGAAATGGACTTGTCCATTGTAGAGAAAGTCTCTCGGGTGACAAACTATTGTATGTTTTATGTATTAATGTGGACTTTTCTTCAAATAAGCTAGCTACCATTCCCGTTATTATCTAGAAATGAAAATTACTTAAGTTTAATCTATAAAATCAAAATGGGTCCCTCAAACTTCTCCGGATATATATCCAATTATAGTCAAATTAATGTGGGTGGTTTGAATATAATTATCGATTATTCAAATGGTTTCTAATATCAATGTGTGACAGTTAAGGTTTAACAACGTCAATGCACAAAAATAACTGGCTTTAAAAGACTTGAGTGGAGTCGCAATAAGTCCTAATATTGCTAGAAAATTTAAAAAAATGTGTATAAATCAATCTGTTTTACTATGTTTGCTATGTGTAAGAATTGGAATCATCTGATGCCTCTCGAGTTCTAACGTAGTGGCATAAATTAAACGTTTTCTACTTTGTTCAGTTTACTATCCCATTTCATATTCAATTATTTAATTAATGTTTTAGTTTCTCTAACATTATACATTGTTAGTTAGATGACATAAAGTATCGTACTAAAAATTTGTGTCTGAATAAAAAAAAAAACTTAAATTGTGCTACTAGATACATTTATTATTGATGATTTTTAGGTTATGAGGATAAACACCAAATACAACATATTGTATGTCCGTGGTGTTGGAGTGCCAGGCCCAGTCAACGGTTATGTTTACATTTTCGACACAGTACTACCACTGAGGTGAGTATATTATTTCCTGTAGACCCCAACATCAAATTGAAGAGTTTGTCCAACAAACATCTTTGGTAAAACACACATTTCAACACAACACAAATATTATAACATAAAATACCCCCGCCGCAGCAAACCTGCAGACTAAGCGAGTTTCCATTTGCCTGATTGGATTTACACTAAAATGTCTCCTTAAAAATATCACATTTATTCCCTATTTAAATAACATTTGTTTAACGAGTACTTAGGTTTGCTGCAACAGGGAGAGTAAAAAGGTGTTTTTTTGTAAAATGTAATAGTTTAGTATGAAATTAATGCATTTTCCAAATTTGATCAAAATATGTTCATAAACAAGCAAACTATAGTTCAGCCGCTTAGAAAACGACCTGCGCGCTAATGCTAAACCAATGCTGGAGGAGGTCGCTTTCTAAGCGGCCGAACTATACAACAGTTTACTTATTCTCCATAAGAATAACTTTTAAATTTACAGATTTTTGGAATTTTCTCCGTAACCATTAGGCGCATATAAACGCTTCAATATACTAAATTATTTGTTTTTTTAAGCTCTACAAAATGGTTTGGAAAGAAAATGCTAAATTTTAAGTTTTTAGGGTCAAAAATGGGAAAAACCAATTTTTTCACTATAAAACCCCCCATAAACCCCTGTTCCCATAGTCCGATCATGCTGGTTTGCGAACTCGTTCGAATAAACGTAGGTTTATACGTTTGAACCAAATTTCATCAAAATCGGATGATTTTTGCTCGAGTTATCGCACTAACGGACACATATATATATGAATATTGACGGATGGTGTTTTTGGTCTCTAGGGACCTCAAAACGAAAAAGTAAATCGGTCCTGGGTCCAGGTCTTACAATGAGTACTACGGTAATAGCTTATTCCCTATAGGGGAAATTCGCTAAAAATCACATTTAAACATTAGGCGGGTCACATTCAAAATTATAGTAGATCAACCCAGGATGTACATTGGACACGACGCAACTAGCTGTTGTCTGGTAGGTGATAAAAACCTTAAAGGTCAGGGTGCAGCTAATAGTGACTTATGGTTCCTTTGGATTCAATTCACTTATGCAAAATGCTAGAGCCGATTTAAAAATTTGATTTAATGTGCTGTGTAATGGCCTGGGAACGTTTTACCACTGACCAAATCTAACACTGACACTAACAACACTGTTCAGCTATCTTAATAGTGCAGGTAAAATTCTACTAAAAGACTAGTAGAAAAAAATTGGTCTACTTATGAAACTTGGGGTGAAAATAGCGCTACACGTATTTTCTAAGGCTAACTGCACAATTAGTTCATCAGCATTTCCTAAACTGTCTTAATTCAATTCCTGCCTCAAGGAATGCCATGAAATGTTGCTGTGTCTACAAACCAAGAATCATTTCTTGCTAATGCTGACAACAAACAACACTTAATAATCATGTTAACAAGGACATTTTGTGAGGCAGGAATCAAAGTAATATATGATACGTAGTGGTTAAAGAGGCGTAATTACCAGTTCCAAAAACCTTCTGAGGTTTCAAATGGCCAAGGAGGAGGGTAGGGTCACTACCAGTTTCTTGGTTTATGAAATGAAATGTCTTTAATGCTTTTAACATCATATAACATGCATTGCAATCGTCAAAATACTTAGATTATAAAATAAGTAGCATACCATACAGTGCAAACCATGCAAAAAAACTCAAACTTAAGTTAGAAAGAACAAAACCATGCTTTCTACTCTACAATAAAACAATCCTGTTGAGGCAAACAAACCAATCTACTTACACAATAGGCATACCTTCAACTTAAAAAATCATTTCAAGACTGTCTGGGCATTTATTAATAAGCCATTTTTTAAATTCCATTTTGAAGTTTTTACCTTCTAGTTTCTTTATGCAGTTTGGTAACTTATTGAAAAAAATTGTTCCCTTGACATAAGGGCTATTCTCTGTCCTTTTGAAATGTCTTCTCACTCTGAAAAAAATCATTACACTGTCTAGTGTTATGGTCATGCATTTGTCCTACATTAGAAATTAAAATACCAGAACTACAGCTAAATTTAACCAAACATATAACCTGGTATACATACATTGCGTACAAAGTCATAATGTTGTGTGACACAAAAATGCCTTTTCTATGAGTCCTTGGGCTAACTTTTGCTACCAAACGTACAGCTCTTTTTTGTAACAGAAAAATTCTTTTGTTATAAGTGTGAAAAGAACCTCCCCACAGGACAAGCCCATAAGCCAGATATGGATACACCACTCTAAAATAGACTGACCTTAATGTTTCACAGTCCAAATAGTTTGAAAGTCTTCTTAGCAAAGAAATGCCACTCAAGACTTTAGCACCAACATGGTCAATGTGTTTATCCCATGTAAAATGTTTGTCAAAAAATATTCCAAGAAATTTACAAAAATCATTACCATCCAGAGTCATATTATCACCTGAGATGCTAAAAGCCGGAACATTGCGACCAATTGAGAAATGTACAAAATCAGTCTTAGTTAAGTTTACCTTTAAACCTATTTCCAAAAAATAAGCATTGGCAGCTTCAGAAAAATTGGTTAATAAAGCTTTAAGATTTAGCATATTGTTTGCCCAGCACAGCCCAGAAGTATCATCTGCATACATACATGCAAAAACATTATCCATGACAATAAAACTATTTACATGAACTGTATACAGAAATGGTCCTAAAATTGAGCCCTGCAGAACCCCTGAGGTTACCACTCGTGTTTCCGACCTATGTTCTCTCTCTGTCGTACCATCATCAAAAGAAACTGTGGTGCATTGTTGGCGATTTTTTAAATAAGATTCCACCAGACTCACCAACCATCCTGGAACTTTATAGCCAATCAGTTTTGCCAATAAGATAGAATGGTCAACCCGATCAAAGGCCTTCGAAAGGTCTAGCAGAAGCGCTGCCACTTTACAACCTTCATCAAGTTTTTCAAGAGCAGTGTGAACAAAATCAACAGCAGCAGTGATAGTGCTCCGACCCTTCCGAAAGCCATGCTGAAAATCTGACAAAATTTTGTGATCATCAAAAAATTGTATTAGGCACCCAAGAACGAACTTCTCGATTACTTTACTAAAAGTAGACGTGAGAGAAATAGGCCTATAATTCTGAACATCTGTCTTTACCCCCTTCTTATACAATGGTTTAACAATTGTGAGTTTAAGTGGATCTGGAAAGATAGATGTTGATAACACAGTCTGAATCAAATGCACCAAAATATGTTCCTTAAATCGTCTATAGCATTTTGATATAGCCTACATCATAAAACATATGACACATAGACTCATGATCAATTTTGTAATAATTGATATTAACTGTATTATTTTACCCTAATTTGTCATATTTCGTTTTTTAATAATAAATTTGTATTTTCTAATAAACTGACGGTTGTATGGATTTTGATTTTATTATGTTTTTTATCGATTCTGCATCCTAAGAATCATAGAAATCGACACCCCACTTGCTTAGATCCCATAGATAAAAATGTTCTCAAAATCACTACCCTCCTGAACTTTAACCTCCATAAAATAGTACTTCCACCCCACAATCACTAGGGATTCTTCAGACTTCAAGACCTAATGGTAATTTCTACGATTCCTGCAAGTTTCAAGAACGGACAAATTTTTATGTTTTCTTAGGCGAGTTTTACATGTACTATAGGCCTAACTGTTATCCTCTTAAAAACAGATGTAATTGAAGATTTTGACAATTTAAAGGCCTCTGCCAGATTTTTCAAAGAATTATTTTTTTATTGTTTAAGTGGTTTTACTTTGATGCTTTTACCAATTACAGTGGAATCTTAATAACAAGAACCTCGATAATGAGTTACCCTTGATAACAAGTGTAATTTTTAAATACCCTTAATTTTTTGCTACCTACCCTTGATCGCATATTATTATTGCAAACATCAATAATCAGTCAACCTTAATAACATGTCTTATTTTATAGTCGTCAATCACATAACAGAGAAACTTGTTATTGAGGTTCTACTGTAATTACAGTTACAACTACTAGGCCTTACTAACTGTAATAAAACAAATGTTATGAGTCTGGTTTTTAGTAGAGTAGTAAAAAAAAAAATTATATTTCATTATTATTTATTGAAATTTTACATTACAAATTTGGTATCTCATTGAAATTTAATAATCTTACCTAATATTATATTATACTAGCTGAGTGTCCTTCCTACGGGGTTGGTATATAATGCTTATTGTAGTTAAATACTCGTGCTTTGCATTTGCAATGAGAGAGGACACGTTTTGAGAAAAATTGGTTTACTATAATCTACGGTAGGCCTATACTATAGTATATAGAATATCTACCATAGCCATAATGTTCTACCACTTCAAATTAGCTATTGTCATAAATTGTATAAAGAACTAATGGTGCTGCACCCTGTTGGTAAACCGTATAACCTTTTAATGCTATTGAATATCATAGAAACAAATTGTGTAGTTGAAACAGCTGGCAAAATGATTTATTTCCTTTTAAATATGAATACTCATAAGGTTAACATGGGAAACTCTAGAGCCGCTGGGGCGGAGCCCGAAAGGATTTTTGAGGTAAGAATATGTCTATATGTTAATCGAGAATGTGAGCTATCATCATACTAAATTTCAACACAATCCGACCAGTAGTTAATGCGTGATTGAACTTCAAACAAACAAACAAACAAATACACAAACTTTCACATTTATAATATTAGTATGATATTAATATTATAAATGAGAAAGTTTGTATGTTTGTTTGTTTATTGGTTTGTTTGAAGTTCAATCACGCATTAAATACTGTTTGGATTGGGCTGAAATTTGGAATGATGATCGCTCACGTTCCTGCTTAACATGGACATATTCTTATCTCAAAAATCCTTTCGGACTTTGTCCCAGTGGCTCTGAAGTTTCCCATGTTAACCTTATGAATATTCATATTTAGAAGGAATTAAAGAATTTAGTCAGCAGTTTCAACTACACAAGTTGGTTCTATGATATTCAAGCACTATTACAACAGCTAATTTGCATCAAAAAGCTGTGATACACAACGAGAACTTTACTTTTTTCATTTTTCTATTGTTTAGGTGCAGTGGTAGAACATTATAGCTATGGTAAATAAATGTGCTATACTATAAATTGTGTGTATACCGTTAATTATAAGAACCAAACTTTCTTAAACTGTGCCCTCTCCCATTGCAAATGCAAAGCACGAGTGTAACTGCAATACTAATTTTATACTTATACGCCAACCCCGTACTATGGACGGGTACTCTGCTAGTTTTGTCATAAAAGGGAAATTGTTCAATGGAATAATGGGAACCTTCTATCATCAATTAGATGGGGACACCAGCTATGAGCATATTTGAACCCAAATATGAGTGAATGAATAATGAGTGTAGATAGAAGTGAGATGACTTAACGTGGCTTTGATACTGACTAAGACCAGCTGTTTCATTAGTCAGGACCATTTATTAAAAGCCCTCCAACAAATATGGATAAAAAACAACTGGGTCCAGTTTCGAACCATCAAAAAGCTACACACTTTTCTCAGGATCGAAACTGTGACTTTATGATTACCAGGCGAGCACTATAGTCACTGAGCTACCTAGCTATAGACAGTTCATCTGTGTGTGGAGAGAAGTCTGCAAAATCACAACAGGACTCTATCGTTCCTTTAAATGACAATCTTGTTTAGTTGCAATATTAAAACATTTATTGTAAATCATTTTTACTAGGTTAAGGTTGCATACAGCACATACAGACCGTACTAAAAAAGTAAAAAGGAAATATTAAACCCTCACTCAACAAAAAGTATTCTCTTGCAGAAAGCGGAAAGAAAAGCCAGCTGCTTTCCCGACATTCTATCCAGAAGATCTAGAAGAACCTTTGCCGGAGGATTTGTTCCACGAGTCACTTCATATGTTTTCTGATCCTTCTATCAAACACCAGCCAGAGAAAAAGTAGTGAGGTAGTGTTTAATAATATATTATATAGATTTGTTCAATAAACCACATTTTCTAAGAACAGCTTAATGATTATTTGTAACTCCTGTTTAATAATACTATGATACAATATTACTTTTGATACTAGAATAGACATCTCTAAGTGAATCACCTGTAGGAAATTTTTTATACATATATTATAACATAGTTAAGTAAGCTGCTGGTATAAAAATGTTTATAAAAAATCTTTCTTCTTAAACTTTGATACTTTTGATGCAAAGTGTTAGAAGAATTTTGAAACACTAGTAAATCATTAATCCATACCCCATTACCATGGAGTTAAACTTGATAACAATTTACAGCAATTGATCAAGCGGTTTTTTAATATTTTACAAAATCATCGCTGAATATGTGAAGGCAACATTGAATGTTTGTAGTATGTGCCATACCTAAGTGAAAATGGACACAAAATACATTTGCTCCAATTATTAAAACATTGTAATACACATTACCTTTAGCGAATAAATGTATTTGTATATGTATTTGCTCGTATAATTTCAAAATACATTATTCAAGATAATTTCTGAAAAAGCATTTTCATTATCGTTATATACAAGAAGTAGGCCTACCCAAAAGGTTTCAGATTAGAATTTTCTTCTTTATACAAAAATTATTTGATTTAATTTGAATCCAAACTTCATATATCTAGATCGTTTGGAATCATAATAATTGGTCAGGTATAGTGAGGATTTACTGAAGGAAAAGATCTAACATGATTCATGTTCTCAAAAAAAGTCTTGATGTGTCTAAACAATAATGTACAAGTTAATTATTTTTATTAAACTAAAATTTTAGGTTTTTCCTAAAATTATTGAGTTTTTTCATATTGGTAGATACAAATATTGGAACAAACACTCTTTAAATTTATAACATTAAAACTTGCCGTAGTGAGAGAAAATTTTGTGATGTGTTAAACTACTTTCACATGTTTTTGGGACTTAATTACTTTATTAGCCTTGCAGGTTGATTGACATGTATGTACAAGTGGTCCGTAAGCCTTAGTCGTCACTCAATTGCTGAACGAAATGGTTTGTACACTAATATTATTTAAATAATGTTTTAATATAAAATTTCTAGTGTTGGAAAGTAAATGTATTTAAATTTTACTACTATAACGGGTTTTGTTTATAAATTTTATAAGATATTTTCCAAAAGAAAATTTTGATTTTGGAATTTAATTTAGGCCTAATTATATTATTCTTTAATAATCCAAAGATTGATGTACCTTAGCAAAAAACAGAAACTCATAGCAATTGAATATCAAGGGATGAACAATTATTGAAAAGATTATTAATATTATTAAGATTATCAATAATTTTAATTTATTTGAAGATCATACACTTAGTTCAAACAAATCAATGATTTTTTTGAAGGGTATTCAGTTAGCTTACTTGGGAAAAACTAGACTTCAAAGGTTACATACAGTATTAAATGATAAAAATAACACCGTTATTACGTCCTAAGGACACTTAAGAGAGTAGAAGAAAAGTCAATTTTGTGACACAACAGTGATTGTTATCATATTAGAACTATTTTATAATTTTTTTTATAGGAGAGTTATGAACTATTTCATATTTATATACATAGGATTACTTATTCTGATTTTCTCCTGATCTGAACAATCTAAAACAATTACCACCCTAGGAACGCCACCAGCTTGTAGGATTCTTTCTTCTTGCTCTCTTCTCCGGTTGTGTGGTTGCTGGCCCAGGTAACAAGGTAAGAATTATAATCTTGAAAGTTTAGTTTTAGCGAATTTCCCTATAGGGAAGTAGCTATTACCGTAGGTGGCATGGTAAGACCTAGGTGCGGGACCGATTTACTTTTTCATTATGATGTCCCCAGAGGCCAAAAACACCATTCGTTCAAATTTTTATATATGTATATATATATATATAGGTATATATATATATATATAGATTTATATATATATATATGTGTCCGTGAACACGATAACTTGAGTAATTTTTATCCGATTTTGATGAAATTTGGTTTGAAGGTGTAAGGCGGGATAAACTTGAATGAGTTCGCGAACCAGCATGATCGGACCATGGGAACGGGGTTTTACGGGGGGTTTTATGGGGTAAAAATTGGTTTTTCTAATTTTTGACCCTACAAACGCAAAATTTCCCAATTTCTCTTCAGACCTTATTAAAGGGCTTAAAAAAACAAATAATTTAGTATATCAAAGTGTTTTTGTACTATTATTAGTTACGGAGAAAATTCAAATAATTGTTATTTTAAAATTCCCATGTTATTCTTATGGGGAATATTGTAAAATGTTGTAGTCTGCTTGTTTATGGATATATTTTGATCAAACTTGGTAAATTTATTTATTTTATACTAAGTTATTAATATTTCTCTAAAAAACACACTTTTTTACCCTCCCTGTAGCAGCAAGCCTATGTACTCATAAAAATTAATGTTAATTAAATACATTTAATTGAAAATCAATTCAGGCAACTGGAAATTCGCTTAGTCGGCAGGTTTGCTGCGGCGGGGGTATTTTATAGTACAGTAGAGTCCCGCAATCTTGCGTAATGTGTGGACTGGAAGGGTGCCGAGTTTGTGAAATGCTGGGTAATCAGGAACTAGGGTTAAAATAAAAATAAGAACAATACATCTTTTAAGCTTTTTAACTGCCTTTTTTATTTATATTTTTATTACAAGTCAGTATCAAGTCATCAGACAATTAACAATAACATCTTTAGTAGCCAATTTCCCATTAAGACAATAACATATTACTGTAGGTCTCAGGTAAGACCTCGGCCAATGTCAACACCCCTGTGATGACTGTCTAGGAAATTTAATTTCATTACATGAAACAAGAATGGTTTAGTTTGGAAGGAACCTTTATGTGTTACAATTGGTAACAAACAATTCATCTGTAGGGTATTTTTCTTTGTAAGATAGAAATAATTTAAGTAGATTTAGGCTTACATCAAGAATAGATGCCTTATTCAATAGTTTGCCTTGGACGAGACAGTGAAGAACCACAATACCTTCTTTCTTACACAGGAGGGCATTTAGTCCTAGAACAAGACAAATTGAGTAAAAATGATCCGATTTTGATGAAATTTGGTACAAATGTGTAGACCTACATGAACCAGCAAGATTGGACTGTTGGAACGGGGGTTTTATGGGGTAAAAATTGGTTTTCCCATATTTGACCACCAAAACATAAAATTTGGCAATTTCTTCATTGTTTTGTAGAGCTTAAATATTGAAGCGTTGTTTTGTGTCTAACGGTTAAAAAAAGTGGAAAATTCCAAAAAAGTGTAAATTAAAAATCTCCATGTCCTTCTTATAGAGAATAAATCAACTGTTGTAGTTTGCTTGTATATGGGTATATTTAATTTAATTTGGCAAGCTTATTTTATTTTTATTATATACTGAGCTAGAACAGTGAGTATAAAAATTGAGATATTTTATCTAAGAACATATCTTATCCCTACCCTAGCTAAGAAAATATCCCCACCGCAGCAAACCTGCACATTCTAAGCCAATTTCCATTTACCTGTCTGGATTCCTACTAAAATAAACCCTTAAAATTGTCAGATCTTTTACCTTCCTTGTGGCAGGAAACTAAGCTTACTCATTAAAATTAATGGTATTTAAATTAAACTAGTGTATATGTTGCTCGAATTCGAGTAATTGCTAAGTATTATACAGAAGTTTCAAAACAAATAACAGTCATATTTACAATTTTTTTAAACAGTCTGCTCAAAGATTACTGGTGTGTAACTCATGGAAATACTCACGATGTATATAACAGTTCAATATACTGTAATCAACATTTCCTGTAAATATTTTATCATGTTTCATAAGCTGGAATTGTTTTTTAATATTTTCTACAAACATTTCCTGACTTTAAAAAAAAAATTATAATAATTAATAACTTATGTCATTACAAACCAACATTCAAAACTATACACATTTTCAATAAAATACAACATGGATAATTTACACATTGACTGTTTACAATTAACATATGTTCTTCTTCTTACTTTTAATTTTTGACAACAGCTGGAGTTTCATAACAATTTTTGTTTCCCATGTCAATCTTATGGAGAAATACGAAACTTTAAAGGGCCCCAGGGCCTCACTCTCTAATTATTTCCCTAAAAAGAAAAGTTTCCTGCACAACTTAACGTCATGCTCTTTCCAATGACACCAAAAACATGTCAATCGGTTCAATAGTTTCGGAGGAGTAATTGTCACAAAAAAACCTGCTTGCGTTTTAAATAAGTATAGATAAGAAATAAATCTGACAATTTAAGGGAATATTTTAGTGGGAATCCAGACAGGTTAATGGAATTTTGCTTTAGAGTGTGCAGGTTTGCTGCGGCGGGGATATTTTCTTGGCTACGGATGTAGATTCGGATGATATGTTCTTAGCTACAACATCCCATTTTTTATACTCATTGTTATAGAATGTAAAATCACCAGCTATACCTAGTCGCATAAATTAATAAATCATACGTTAAGTTCTTATAAGGTGATACTGTTGAAGTGAAACTAAAACTTTCAAAACTAAAGTTTTGTTTTATTCTCAAGCTGTGAATTCTTTGCTAAAAATGAACCCCTTCATCACTGGGATTTGAGAAGTTACAAAACACACTCGAAGAAACGAACACATACAATTTTAACAACGAATTTAGCCATATCAAAATTAATAAGTTACTGGTTATGAACAAGTGGTGTTGCCGACCGGATGAGTCATGAAGACATTCAGAACACATCTGTGTTAGGCCTAATTGGCCAAACTTTAGTTAATTTTTTTCATGTTCATATTTTTTTGCATATATGTTTTTGAAGACGCTTCACAACCCTAGAGACAAAAAGTATCAGGCATATTCATAGACTGGTATTTTTCTTGAGAAAAATATTATATATTACTTTAATTGCAAAATCATTGGTCACCGTTAAATAAGGATCACCACATGCTATGTAGACTACTTTAATTTAAGTATTTTCAACTTATTTTTGATAAAAGTAGTACAGCTGGTAATAAAGTTGTGTTTGCAAGACAGGAGTTAAGTAGGCTTAAATGTCTCTTGAAAGAACGAATTTAAACTCTCATTTCCTTATATTTGTTTACTCCATTATTTTTTATCATGATTGATATTTTGAAAATCAGGAACTGGGCTTCGTGCAGAAGATTGAGGGTGGAGTCTACAATGCGTTGTGTTGGGTGTTCGATCTTTACCCAATATCCATATCCAAACAACTATTCCAGATCCCAGGACTGGAAGGTCGAATAGTTAAAACCGGTCCTCCCAGCAGATGTAGCAAGATTATACTAACTGTAAGTTAATGTCTAAGAATTCTGTCTAAGATTTGATTTAAAAGTCATACTGTAATCCAACCCAATCAGAATGAAAGATGAAATGGGTGGGATACGTCTTTGTCACTAAAACAAACATTACAAACGTTTGGATAATGAGGGAGTAGTCCAGTAGACATACATATTGTGTAGCCTGTTATCACTTTTTCCCCCTATACATAGTATGTGGAGAAATCCTCAAAATTGTCGAGTTTGAGTGGAAATGTCTGCCTCTTAGTGATGGCTGTATGTGTGTGTTTGTGTATGTCTATATGTGTGGATGTGTACAGAGCAACAGACCGCACCTGTGTACCGATTTTGAAGAAATTTGATATGTAAATGTGGGTTGGGTACTTAATCCATGGTATCTCCAGGCATTTTAAATTTTTTTTTTCTAATGGTGCTTATTATAAAAAAAACATAATTTTAAAAAAAATCCAATTTTTACAAAACCGCCTAAATTGAAATTTGGTATATATAGTCCTTTTAACTCTAACCAGAACAACCCCCATTTCTGTAAACATTACAGTTCAAATTTATTTCATGTAATTTTCCCTAAAAACCCCTTAAAATAACATAGGCCTAAAGATCTGATCTTGAAGAAAAGAAGAAATTAATTTAGTATGTTTTAGTCCATATGATTAAAAACAAAATGATACCTCCACCATAGCTGTAAGAAAATCGGTTTAAAATGTATTGCAACTTTTGTTATTTCTCCCGAAAAATATGATAGCTACTCATTAAATCTCATATCATCTTTAGGCAGGGTACAAATACCCACCAGAGAGTGAACTGAAGAAACTGAGAGATAGTAAACTTCCAGTGGTTTGGGTTATAGGTAAGTTGACAATTTTACAACAATCACTTCTGTAGTACTAATCTATGTATTAAAATACAATTATTGACATTGTAAAAGTAAACAGTAAAATGAGTTTTCTGCAATGAAAATCTCAGTTTTATTGATTTGTGGGAATAAACCAGGACTGATTAACTTTCCACATTTTAAGTGATACTACAAGTTCACACTTAAATGAATTGGGAATTATTTAATAAATATGTAGTTTACTAACTACACTCTACAGAGTACATGTGTTCCCTGTCTGAGTTGCAAAACTTCTATTGGAAATTGGCCTTAACAAGTGAGTTATCATCAAAGCACAGAGGCAGAGATAGTTTTATAGAAACTGATGATCAACGTAGATTTTTAAGTTTCCGAAACTTTTCTTGAGATTGAAGTAGAGTAGAAATCTTATTATCTTGACCAATTGGGGCAGGATTCCATCTGGGTAGAAAATAAACCGTATAGTTGCATTTTTATAAAAATTGGTTATTAACAATGTAATATTACATGTCATTCATTCATCATTAACAGTACCTGGGGACCGAGCTTTGCTCGGAAAAATTCGTCAGTTCACTCTGAAAGCAGTCTTAGTATTGGAGATACATAAATCCACTCCCAAACTCCACACGGCTCGCCTTTACTACGTCCTACACCATTTCCTACGTCATGGACCTGTTTTCCTCCATTCCCATAGCACTTTAGGATTGTAGATACCTTAATCTAATCGTTATTAACAGTTCCCACACCCCGGACAGCTCGCCTTGACTACTTCCTTCACCACTTCCTACTTAGCGGACCTGTTTTCCTCCCTTCCCATAGCATTTTAAGATTGCAGATACCTTAATATAATCCTCATAGACAGTTCCCACACTCCGGACTACTCGCCTTTACTACTTCCTTCACCACTACCTACGTCGAAAACCTGTTTCCCTCCCTTCCCATTGCATTTAAAGATTGCAGATACCTTAATCTAATCGTCATAAACAGTTCCCACACTCCGGACTACTCGCCTTGACTACTTCCTTCACCACTTCCTACGTCACGGACATGTTTCCGTCCCTTCCCATATCATTTTAGGATTGCCCATACCCTTATCTAATCGTCATAAACAGTTCCCACACTCCGGACAGCTCGCCTTGACTACTTCCTTCACCACTTCCTACGTCGCGGACCTGTTTCCCTCTCTTCCCATAGCATTTTAGGATTGCAGATACCCTAATTTTATCGTCATAAACAGTTCCCACACTCCAGACAGCTCGGCTTGACTACTTCCTTCACCACATCCTACGTCGGGAGCCTGTTTTTCTCCCTTCCCATAGCATTTTAGGATTGGAAATACCTTAATCTAATCGTCAAAAACAGTTCCCACACTCCGGACTACTCGCCTTGACTACTTCCTTCACCACTTCCTACGTCGCGGACCTGTTTCCCTCCCTTCCCATAGCATTTTAGGATTGCAAATACCTTAATCTAATAAACAGTTCCCACACTCCGGACAGCTCGCCTTGACTACTTCCTTCACTACTTCCTACGTCACGGACATGTTTCCCTCCCTTCCCATATCATTTTAGGATTGTCCATACCCTTATCTAATGGTCATAAATAGTTCCCACACTCCAGACAGCTCGCCTTGACTACTTCCTTCACCACTTCCTACGTCGTGGACCTGTTTCCCTCCCTTCCCATAGCATTTTAGGATTGCAGGTACCCCAATCTTATCGTCATAAACAGTCCCCACACTCCGGACTGCTCGCCTTTTAAATATATCCTTCATCACTTCCTAAGTCACGGACCTGTTACCCTCTATTCCCATAGCATTTTATAATTGCCTTTACTACTTCCTTCACCACTTCCTACGTCACGGACCTGTTTCCTTCTCTTCCCATAGCATTTTAGGATTGCAGATACCTTAATCCAATCGTCATAAACATAGATCCCAGACTTCGCACTGCTACCCTTGACTACAATGTATCGAGTAATCTTCAGTATAATCTTTGCTAGATATTAACAAGTGATGTTTTTTCTTTTGTACTGTATTTGTAATTTGCTAGTATACTGTGGGTAGTTGGCTTATTATGAACACATGCTACAACTTCAAGTCTGTTGTTTACTTTTTCCTTGTTATTTAATTCAGCCAACATGGTTACCTAGCAACCCATAAGACTAATGTTAAAAAAATGTGACTTTCAGTTTCATTTTTCTACGTAATTAGATTTTTGTTGGCAGTTCTGACTGCAGTAAACTCGTTTTTAGGCCAAAAATAAACTATTTACAACATTTGAAGAAAATCGTCGGAGCCGTTTTCGAGATCTTGGTGCAAGCATACATACATGCAAGCAAACATTGCTCGTATTAGAGTATAGGATTAATTTCCCTATTATTTTGTATATTTTTTTCTCATAAAGTCTGTTAATGCCCCTGATAATGTATTATCAGTTATTTAATATGTTCCTCCTTGTTAATGTGTTAGTTAATCCAATTTTGTTCAATGTTATATAATATCCCATCACCCCACAGAAACATCTATGTATACGTTGTATTTTATGTTACAATATAATATTTATGCCAATTCTCTCCATACCTATCCTGTACTCACCAAAAACCAACAATAATCATTTATTTAGAATAATATATAATTGTAAGAAAATTGCAATATAGTAACATCATAGTATCACTTTTCAAAATTATCCAAAGAAAATAAAAATTACTGTGGCAAGTGTCATTTATGTGAATTAACCAGCTGTACATCATTTCAACAATGAACATGGACTTCCTGAGCTTCTACCATTGCCACTAGCAATTTGGAGGTTACTTGACGTTTTTGCAATTAACTTTTAAATGGTGAGGAAATCGACCAAAGTGGAAGGTAATATCCGGAAAGAGAATAAAATTTCCTACAATCTACTATTAAAAACTAAGTGTATTTTCAATAGAGAACCATCACACAGCAATAAATCACCACAATCAAGTTCTTAATAATGATGATAAAGCCTGAAAACCTGAAGGAATGTGTAGGAAAACGTAACGCGCCCATTGTAATACATGGGACAGTGCCGCTACGTACACTGACTTGGGGTGGGGAGACCCCGTCCGCGGCCGGCTCGTTTACGCTGCATTGAGTCAGCGTTCCATGTTTATAGTTCTATGGTCCAGGCCCCTTTCCGCTTCACAATGAGCAGCTGAATGTAGTTCATCTCACTTTGTGGACATGATTGGCACACATTAAAAGCTGTGACGGATTACCACAAACTCCAAAACCCTACAATAAACTAGATTTTTCTGGCCAAACTTTTTTACGGCTAATTGGAGATCCGGATGATTAGAGTTTTGATATTTTCAACCTACACTGTACAAGCTTCATGTCCTATCATCAAAATCTATACGATTTGATCTCAATTAATGATTTCTCTCTGTTCGTAATGTTTGTACAGGAGGTCCTGGCTCAGGCAAAGGCACTCTTTGCGGTCAGATGGCCAAAAACGAAGGATTCACTCACATTTCAGTTGGAGAATTGTTGAGAGCAAAGGTTCAAAGTGACCCTGACTCGACCAAAAGCAAAGCCCTTGAGAAGACTATGTTACAAGGAGGACTGATACCTGATGTAAGTCAATCACTGCATTTAGATATACGATATGAATTCTGAAGCTGGTCTCATGTAAGATTATAAACCTTATACATTCTTCAATTTCAATTGTATTTCATTAAATCACAACATTTTTGTTTGTTGAAAACAAACTATTGTAGCATTTCCCTTTTAAGAAGTAGTTTTACTTATCTTCTTGATGACTGTATGTTTCAGTCTGCCTCTTTATCAATCTTGGCAAGTGACATGATTTCCAAGCTCGACACATCTAAAGGTTTCTTAATCGACGGGTTTCCAAGAAAACTTGAAGACGGTGTGAAATTCCAGGAAAAGGTAAGTTGCTCTGAGTTAAATTACATGTTTTTTTTTTGCTGCTGAGCTTTTGGATAGAAGAAGAACTAGGTTTTGGATGAGTTTTGAAGATTTTTACATAAAGTGTTCAAATAAATATCCTTACTTGAATAAAACATTGTAAACTTACCTTTAAAAGGGGATAAATATGGGATTTAGCACATAAATACATTTTTTTTGTTCAACCGTTTTGTTTTGATAGGACATTGATAATATTAGACAATTTATTTGATTCATTGTGGCTAGTGTGACCAATTGCAGGCAAATTGAATCAACAATACTGATTACTTACTACTTCAGCCACTAATCAATGCATTATTAATATACCCAGATAAATTTGGCAGCCAACCCAAATGCAAATACAAATAAACAGGAAACAGTTTAATTTTATAAGGTAGGTTTGTGATCTGTGCTTTTTAACAGCTGTTACAGTAATTCATGAGTTTACGTAATAGTACTGATATTACATTACAAAATCAACTTAGCCTACATTTGATGTCATGTTGGAGTCGAATCAATTGTTTTTGTCGTAATAGATCAAACCTCCAGATGCTATTATCGTCCTGGAGGTTAGTGATGAAATCATGAGAAAAAGAGCGCTCAGTAGACAAGAAAACCGGAAAGATGACAATGAAGGGACATTTAACAGACGGCTGAAAACATTTCACAAACAACACAAACTTGTTATAAAAAACAAAAAGTTTTCTAAAAAAGTCAGAAAGGTAAGTGACTAGTCAGTCAATTCACTTATTTCAAAATCAACACAAAGAATGTTTGTTTCACAATTTTTGTTTCATTTATGTTAACTTAAAATGAAAGGAAACTAGTGGCTTGCAAAGCCCCTAAAACCTCTAAATATTGGCAAGCCGATTTCAAACCAAATACAATCAATATTGTAAATCCAACTAGCCAATAAAGAAATTATTTATGTGTCAGAATTTTTCTAAAACAGAATACTATTGTAATAATATTGGATCAGCATATGGAAAGTAATTTTTTAACCACCCACTCAAGGTCAATTTGCTAGAGATTCGCCTTCGGTTGAGTTAAAAACACCACTATTTGATTTGAAGACACCACTATTTGATTTGCGATCAGTTAATTAAATTATATACTAAATCAATATTTATATTATCTACGAATCTAAGTTACAATTCATATTTCCTTCTTTATGCAACCATTTTTCCTGGGGGTCGTTTGTAAAGTAAACATAGGGTATAGTGTCTGATAAAATCTAGCTAGTCTTCAGTATCTCAGGTTTCAGGTCACTATTTCAGTTTATATACCCTCCCTGTAGCAGAAAACCTAGGTACTGTACTTGTTAAACCTAAGGTTATTTCAATAGTTTTAATTGAAAATCCTATCAGGTAAATGAAAATTCGCTTAGTCTGCAGGTTTGCTGCAGCGGAGGTATTTTTTCATATTTTGCTCATACTTCTGTGAATAATGTAACATTGAACCAAAAATAAATGTAAAAAAAAATAGTGCCAAAAGGGTCTAATACACCTTAAGGCCAGATACGTATAAAGGTAAAGGAGATGAAGTAGGCTTTGTCTCATTGGAGGCCTGCAGACCATATCCCATATTGGTCTGGTATATTAAGGGGCGAATTCATTGATTGGGCCACTTCAGATCTGCCATAGCTTATTACACCGTCGGCCAAGGAGTGTAAGGGGGTGTCAAAAGACAGGGTTTAAAATAAAAAGTAGGAATGGTGAAATCTAGACATTTAAAAAATTTGTTCTTTTTTTAGATAAATGCAGAGAGGACAATAGAAAAGAATTTTGAGGAATTTGCTGAGATAATCCATGGTTTGGTACCAAAACCAACCGGAACCGATAATCCGAGTTCCAAGAGTTTGGAACCAAAACCAACCAGAACCAATGATCCAAGTTCCAACAGTGGGGAACCAGCAAAACCAACTGGAACCAATGATCCGAGTTCCAACAGTGGGGAACCAAAACCAACCGGACCCAATGATCCGAGTTCCAACAGTGGGGAACCAAAAGCAATCGGAACCAATGTTCAGAGTTCCAACAGTGGGGAACCAAAACCAACCGGAACCAATGATCAGAGTTCCAAAAGTGGGGAACCAAAACCAACCGGACCCAATGATCAGAGTTCCAAAAGTGGGGAACCAAAACCAGCCGGAACCGAAAATCAGAGTTAAAGCAACCAATAAGTGGAAATCAGCATTTTCTTGTAGAAAAAGCATAAATAATTATTTTTGTGCAGAAAACATTTGGTTTTGTCAAGTTTCTTCCCAGACGAGTTAACAGAATAGTTATTTGTGTAACTAGTGGCACTTTGCTGCACACAAGAACAATGTTTACGGAATGATCTCGAGTGCAGCAAAGACCTTTTGCACTCTTGTTACACATTATATTTTTCCTACAGTCACTACAAAGCATATAAATAATTAGTCTTTCAAACACTATACAACACGTTTTTAGGTTCAGCTGGCAACACAAATGGTGCCCTAGAGAAAGTAGTACCCGCGGTCCGTATCACTCCGCTATTTTTCCTCGGCAATAATTGTGCTCCGCGTTTTGAGAATATAGTTCCGTATGTTTTTGTAATTTGAAGTGGTCTCCGCGCCTAAAAAAAGCTTTAAAGGTATTTTCTTGTTTATTAAGATTGTTGAATGTTTTAAAAACGTTTAAAAGAAAAGTCCAGAAAGTTCAGAAATACCGAAACTATAAACACAAAATGACAGGTTAAATCGTAGTTATAATAGTCAATCAGCTGCTCATAGTATTATTATCTTTAAGTGTTGCCAACCTATTTCCAAGCGTACACGGATTACGTGCATAATAGAACCACGCTGTTTTGTGTTGTTTCGTTGGAATCCTGATGTGCGGCAAAGTATAAACCGTACGGCAAATTATAAACCGTACGGCAAAGTATAAATATGCAGCAATTAGCAGCTTTCTGTACTATAAACAGTACAAGGAAGCCAACTTTGTCGGGTGACTGTAGGAAAAAGTCTTAAGTTAATTAATTTCTTAGCCAGGAATCTAAACAACTGATTACATGTTATATACTCTGATTATCAAGAGAATGTGCCTTGGCGCAGCGATCGATTTTAAGTACAAACCTTCTATTTTACAAACTTGTGGAAACGTAAAAAATAAAATTCAAAATTCTAAATAAACGGTAATTAAGTATTCAATTAAGCACGTTTTCAGCACATGTTTTATATACAGGGTGTTGAAAATGTCTGGAACCAACATTATATCTGGTGAGTGGTTAAAGAAAAACAACTGATATTTTGTGTACGGATATACTATGGTTTTACCTATCTTTTGGTGCCTTATGAAATTTTTTACCACTTATAGGGAACGTCCTGTGGAGGATGCAGTAAAAAGTTTTAATGGAAGCCTATGGTAAATGATACATCATTTTAAAGGCCATTTTTTTCCGAGTAAGGAGCCTGAAGTTTCATCTCAAAAGGACCACCCTAGCAAAAATGGCGACTGTTCGGATAGCAATGTTTTTAAATTTCAAACAGTCGCCATTTTTGCTAGGGTGGTCCTTTTGAGATGAAACTTGTGGCTCCTTACTCGGAAAAAAGTGGCCTTTAAAATGATGTATCATTTACCATAGGCTTCCATTAAAACTTTTTACTGCATCCTCCACAGGACGTTCCCTATAAGTGGGTTTTTAAATTTCAAACAGTCGCCATTATTGCTAGGGTGGTCCTTTTGAGATGAAACTTGAGGCTCCTTACTCAGAAAAAAATGGCCTTTAAAATGATGTATCATTTACCATAGGCTTCCATTAAAACTTTTTACTGCATCCTCCACAGGACGTTCCCTATAAGTGGTAAAAAATTTCATAAGGCACCAAAAGATAGGTAATACCATAGTATATTCGTACACAAAATATCAGTTGTTTTTCTTTAACCACTCACCAGATATAATGTTGGTTCCAGACATTTTCAACACCCTGTATTTTGTATCTTATTCCGATGAATTAATATTTGTAGATATATTTGTAAAAAAACCAATTTGAATTAAAATCTTTGCATTCGCAATGTTTGATATAGAATAACTGCGACTAGAAGCATCGGAAAAATATTTCTTGTTGAGAATTACTAGTCGACATTCTTAGAAACAATATATTAAAAACTGGGATCCCCCCACGATTACAATTAACGTTGTTATTAATTTTTTCCAAATGTACTGTTAACTCTGTTAATAATATTTATTTAAATTTTGTTTGTTTTATATATCTACAGCATGATTTTAATAATTAATACAAACTTCTATGCAACCTTAAATTCCACTAAATATACCCGTAATCAGATAAAATATAAAAATGGTACAAACCTGGTGCGGCGGTCTGCTATCCAGTCAAGGTACAGTAACAGCCCAAAAAAGTGGCACATCCGCTTCAGTCTCACATTTCGTAATTCGAAATCACACGTATTTAATGATTGACTGTATTTAGAGATAAAAACAAATAGTATATTTCTTGATGAGAATAATATCAATAACTAATATAAGAAACTCACAAATACACTGTTAAACACTTCAGTTGGAGTTAGTAGGTACTCTTCAAACACTATTAGGTCGTCGCCATTATTAGAATATACTTAACTGGAATCTTTCTCGGAGCTGCTGCTGTCTCCCAAAGATATAATCATTTCCTCAACAGCTTCTTCCATTAATCCTTCCCTATTCCATGCATTGACAATGACCTGTTTTGTGTGGTTCACTACTTGTATCCACCTCTCAGCACTTATGCGATGAATTCCTTCTTTAGTCAACCGTTCAACTTCAGCAACAGTAAACCTTTTGTTTTCTGCCACATACCCTTTAACTTGAGCCCATAAGCTCAATGGCATTAAAATGACAAGGATAAGGTGGTAAACGTATCACTCTGTGACCGCTGCCCTCCATCAATTCATCTACATAATATCTTTTGTTCTGTGATTCGTGCAGTTTCAGTAACTCCAAAGTTCACATTTTTTTAACTCGTCTGTAGCTTGAACATTTTTTCTATGTAGCCATTTAATTATGTCAGATTTTTTTTTATTTTTGCTTGTAACAGCTTTATCAATTTGCTTTGTATGATATGGAGCATTGTCCATTACTAAGGCTTCTCTAGGTTATTTAGCATAGTTTCAGAACACCAGTTGTAGAACTTGTGGTCCATATCTTCATGGTAGTCACCAGTTCGTTTTGATTTAAATAGTAGGAGGGAATTTTCAACAAACCCCTTTGAAGATCCTGCATGGCATACAGTAATATCAACCGCTCACCTTTTCCTACAGACGTTGCGATTGTTCCCTGCAGTGACTCATCAGTCCATCCTTCTTTCAAACAATGCCCAGCCCATAGCCCCATATGACCCAAGTCTCATCTAGCCAAATTATACTATCAAAATTCTCGTCTTTTATTTGGCGAAAAAACCCGCATCTCCAGCAGCGATGTCACTTCTCTCCATAATCACTTTTAAACCCGAAAATTTTCTTCAGATAAATCCTAAATCGTTTATCATCTTTCTAAGGGGTTAAACAGATCTTCGTTTCCCAACGATGATAATAGTTTTTTCAAGGTTGGATAATCTTTTCTAATGTAGTATTGATACACGTGTCTTCGTATAGCGTCTTCCTGAAATACATCAAGTTTTGTTAAAGTTTTCTTTTCTCCCGTTTCCTCTCCTTTCCTGGAGTTAAAAGTTGATAATTATTTTCATTTTGTAATATTTTTATTTTCAAATCTTTTTCCTTGCAAACTCGCTTAACTATATTTTTATGTATTTTAAGTGCAGCTGCAGTTCGCTGTATTGAATATTAACTGGAATCAAAGGACCATTATTTCCCTTTTCTTTGACAAAATACTCCTGCACTTTGCACACAAATTCTCTCCACTGTCCTTTCAGAAATACACCGCGGCCCGAAATATTTTGTTTCTTTGGCGTTCGAGTTCTAGGTCTTCCTCTACTTTTCCTTTGTACATCTTCATTAGGTTGCTCCATTCTCAATCAGTAAGGTATATGTTCACAAAATAACTTTAAATCACGTTAAATTACAATTAAAATACCAACTAATAACATTCGATCACTTATACCGGGGAACATCACTCAGTCACCACATACACTAAACTAAAACCAAGAAATTTCCCCCAGATTTAGGGTAGGCATAACGGTTCAGTTTTTGTGGAAGCAGTTGCTATTTGTGTCCAGGACAGGCCGAAACTATGGGGTTGGCAGTGGTGCGGGTGAATAAAATGGGCACACTAGGACCTGACTGTACTTCCGCCTCAAAATGCGGCGCACTGCTCTCAAAGAAACTTAATTTACATATTAATCCATTGCAGTAATCCTTTTATCATGAAAAGTGATTTTTTTAAATTCGTTATAAATAATGTTATTTGAAGAAAATGTCACGCGAAATTCATTCTGAACGACTAAAAATAACAGAGTTAACAGTACATTCGGAAAAAAATAATAACGTCGTTAATTGTAATTGTGGGGATCCCAGTTTTTAATAAATTGTATCTAAGAATGTCGACTAGTAATTCTCAACCAGAAATATTTTTCCGATGCTTCTAGTCGCAGTTATTCTTCATCAAACATGGCGAATGCAAAAATTTTTAATCAAATTCCTATTTTTACAAAACTACAAATATTAATTCATCGGAATAGGATACAAAATATATAAAACATGTGCTGAAAACACGCTTAACTGAATATTTAAACACAGTTTATTTTAAATTTCTAACTTTATTTTTTACGTTTCCACAAGTTTGTAAAATAGAATGTTTGTACTAAAAATCGATCGCCGCACGGCCGCTCCGCCAAGGCACATTCTTTCGATAATCAAAGTATAATAGTGTTATTGAATACAATTTTTGTAGGCACACAATGACTGTTTATCCATATTAATCATAAAAATACATGTTTTACATAAGCTACCAATACATTAATGACTTATATTGATAATATATATAAATAATACTGGTTAGGAATTTTCTAAATGAAGGGTTATTGGAAGGTTACTTCTATGTTGTAAAGGCAGCTCCAGACATACGCCAGTCGCCAAGCACAAAATATTTGACTTTCGGGAACTATTAGTCTTGCTATTCGCCGATTAACGAGTAGACGTCTACACATATGTATTGTTTTCCGAGCAACTGTCCTTTTTTTTGTTCGTTTTGGGAACAGCAAATATTTGTTTACTTTGATGTCTACAAAAATACCGACAATGGGAAAACAGGAATACGAATGTTTGC